CGCCTAGAGATGTAACAATGGGCCGAGGCCCATGGGCCGGCCCAGGCCCATCCTGATATAATGACGGGCCGGGCTGGCACGGCACGATACTGTTCAAGGCATGGCCCAGCCCATAAATATTGGTGGGTTGGGCTGGGCTAATCTATATCAGCCCATGGGCCGGCACGGCACAGCCTGTGAAAAATTATGGGCTAGGCCGGCCCGTTTAGGCCCATGATGGGCCGGCCCAGCCCGGTCCATCTAGGCCCATAATGGCCCAGGCCAACGGGGTTTTGGTAATTTTGTAAACATCTTATGTATAATTATTCTGATTGTACTCTTTTCCTTACTAAGGTTTTATCCCACTGAGTTTTCCTTAGAAAGGTTTTTAATGAGGCAATCATAAATAAAATATATCTTTTCATATTCCCATTGACTATTCAAACATTTATTTTTGTTAACTTGTATAAAAATAAAAAAAATTAAAAATTACATGCATAGATGGGCTGGCCCATTTAAACCCATGATGGGCCAACCCATCTAAACCTATGATGGGCCAATATGGGCCGGCCCATTCAAGGCCCACGGCACGGCCCATCCTGGCCCACGGCACGGCCTGGCCTGGCCCACGTAAAGTTGGCACGTGGGCTGGGCCGGGCTGAAGTAATTCGTACATGGGCCGGCCCGGCCCGGCCCACATAATTTATGGGCCGGCCCGGCCCGAGCCACGGCCCACGTGGGCCTAAGAAGAACAGGGTGGGCTGGGCCGGCCTGTTCTTGCATCTCAACCAAACCCTAGTGGTCGTGACCTATGGCGCGACTCGCGCCATAGGTCACGACCACTAGGGTTTGGTTGACTCTGGGCTTCGACCCAGAGCAGCATTAGAAAGAACACAAGCCCAACTTGGCCCATGATTGAAGAAGGGGAAAGCCACAGGGTTACCTGCGACAACACAAAAACAAGAAAAAGGAAAAAAGGTAGATGGCCGTTGGGCCATTAGTTGGGCCCGTGGCTAAGGAGTTGGGCCACAGAAAAAAAGGGCCTTTATGGCCTAATAAAGAAAGAAATAAAGAAATTAGTCATTCTAGGCTATTTTAAAGGCAAATTGGCCAATTTTGACCAAATAAAGAATTATTTGCCATTTTTAGCAAATTTTAGAAAATAAAATCCAATTTTAGAGATTTTAGGCATTTAGGTAATTTTAACCGATTAAGAAATTAAAATGCAATTAATTAAATTTAAATATTTAATTAAATAAAATGAAATTTTGATTTGTGTTTTGTTTTATTTAATTATTATTGCACTTATTTATCTTGTATTTTAAAATAAATAAATTAAAATAATATTGCTGCCAAAGTAACTTCTGTTGTGGATATTAATTTATTTTGAAATATGAATATGTGTATGTCTGTTATTTATGCGAATAACGATCGGTCCAAAAGAAGGTTATTATTTGTTCAAAGGAAGGTTATTATTTGGCCAAATAATAGGCATACATGTGGTAATAAATATGTGACAATTATAAAGTTTTTCATGTGAGCAATAGTCAACCCAAAGGAAGGCTATTGTTTGATAGGATTTATTATCAATATTTGATCACTACGCGTAAAGTACCACTTACATGTTGATATTTCTTTCAAAAACTAAATATCAATGTTGTGCTAGGTATCTTGTAAATGGGTCCACCATGCTTCGGATTGTTTGTTTATATCATGTATGCATTTTATTGTTTGATTATGCTTATGGTATGACATGGATATTGATTGTGAGTATGTTATTTTATTTCGTTCTCTATGCAGTTTAAGCTACTGCTGCTAATGTTTCTACTCAAGCGAGTTCGATCCCAATGCTGAATGAGACGAATTTTAAGGGATGGAAAGAGAACGTGGAAATTTTATTTCCTAATATAATTGCGGGCCACATATTTAATTGGGTATAGACTGAATGTGTGGATACCTAATATTGACCCAATTAGGTTTAATGGATGCTTAATAGAACAGTATATAAAGAAACTTTAAGTTATGTTTCCCAATACGTCAAATCATTTAGCCGTTTTTTCTCTTTCTCATCTAGAGAGAGAACACCCCATTCAAGACTTTGGTGATTTGACTGAGAAAGGCGATAACCCCTAGAACACATTGTCGTAGAGATTTCCGCTAGAGATTAAAGTTGCACCAATAGAGACATATATTTGTTCTCACCTATTTTCTCAGTAATTTAGTGTGATGATTTCTGATTTTGTGGGTATGGTGTTAAAACCATATTTATGGATTAAAGCTAATATGACATTCTCTGCAATACAATCTAAGACTAAAACTTGTGGTGTTCCTATAAAGTGCCCATCTAAGAGAGAAGGGCAATAATATCTGCCATCAACACCCCTGGGTCAGCCAATGAAGGCCCTGAATAAATAGCTTGAACCACTTTCACGCATCAACTTAGTAAAAATAATAGGAATTCCAGCTTGCTTTGCTAAAAGTAGTCCTTCCCGAGGAGCTAAACACTCGGCTATAAATGGGGAAAAGGAACCATCCAATTTCTTAGCCAAGCAAGCAAGAACTTGACCGACATCATCTCTAATCACTGCCCCAAGTCCTACACAGTTCGAACCAATGGCATTGAGCTTAAATTGACCCAAGAGGGACGTTTGGATGTCTGTTTCTTGTATTCGTCTCTGATTCTGAATCATGATTCATGGTTCTCTACAGTATTTTTCTCTCATAAAAAACACATGTAAAACAAGAATAATTTTAAATCATGAATCTGAATCTACGAGCCAAACGTCCACTTATATTGCACATCATGAGAAGTAGGAGCCAAACTCAGATTAGCTACAGTCGTGCAATAGTTTTGGAAATCACCAAGGAAGCGCCTTGCCATCTCTAGTCTCTACGATTTCCAATGTAGACCGACGGCATACACCATGAACCACCAAATTCTGGGAAGACCAAACAGCCCAAACAACAACATAAAAGGATCTCAAGGTCACTCCAAACAGAACGACCACACCAATCAACACAAATCCCTCAAAATTCAATTTTACTTAGATGTGGTCAAAGGCTACTAGCTTCCCAAACATCCCTCACCTTAACACTATGTTTGGTAGAGTGGAAAAATGGGAGGAAAGAAATTGAATGAAGGATTTTAGAGAGGAACAAAGAATCTTAGGTTGTTTGATAAAAAAGAAATAGGGAAGGAAGGAAGTTTTAAATTTATGGGGCCTACCACTTTTTATTACTTCCAACTTTAGGAAGAAAATAAGAGGAAAAAAATTTAACAAGTAAAAAAGATGTAAAATAACTATTGTAACATTAAACTATTCATCATATTTTTATTTGTATAAGGGTCTTGTTGTAAAATAATCTAAATTTGACATTTTTTTTTTGTACCAAACAACATAAAAAAACCTCTTTTCTACTATTTTACTTTTTATTTAGATATTTTACTTATCATTTCTTTCTATTTTTCTTTCCTCCCACCAAACATAGCATAAAAGCTGTAAAACAACTTAGATTTCGTTCATTTTATCAATTTGAGTTTTTAATTTGAGTTTTACTACAGTTAAAAATTCTCACAAAAAATCACATATAACTTTTTTACTATAGTGAAAAACTCTCATATAAAATTACATTTAAATTCGAATCAAACGATGCCCTAAAATATCACTAGCTCCTTGCCACATGAAGTCTTTGACTTTTTAAGGAACATTATGGCCCAAAAGTTCACTCCACCACCCCTTATCACCACGTTCCCTCAAGCCCATTGAACATTCTCGAAGGTTCATTGCTAATTTATACCGAGTACACTCCTCTAGGGAATACTCATGATAAAAACCTTGGCTCTAGGGAATACTCATGATAATCTCATGGTCAACTGGCCAAAAACTAGACTAAATAAATGGCTTATTCCATTCCCTATTGAGAATAAGATCCTCAACCTTCTAATCCATAGCAAACTCGGACGGTTTTGTGATTTATATGTTGTTAATATCTACACCCTAAAATATTTGCTCTAAATTTTTATACCCTTCTCCAACATATATTTTGAAAAGTCTTGCCAATAAGCAAATCTAATAAAATGGATATTAAATAGAGTAAATATTCGACTGGATAAATTTTAAACTTTTTTGGATTTCAAAATTAACAAAAGTAAAAACAAGGTAAAGATTTGTTATAATATTTCTCTCATTCTTCCTTTTTTTATTATTATATAACTAATGAGGAAAATAACCTAAATCACTGGAAATAGAAATCAATGATAGAAATTTCGGAAAAAGAATATTTTTATGTAAATTTAAAATTTCTCTGTTGCCAAATTACTAAAATTAATGGTAAAAATTAGAGGAAAAACTGAAAAAATAAAGAAAATAAAAATAAGAGAGAAAAAAGAAAAACTTAAAAAAATGTAGAATAATACGTAGATAAAAACTTTAAGAATACCTTTTGCTAGCGGATTAAGTAAATATTTATTTCAAAATTATTTAAAAGTACGAAAGTTCCTTCGATTTCTGTTTTATGTGCCCTATCTTTTGGCATTTTGTCAATTTGATGTCCTCGTGTTTGGGATCTAAATGACAATTTTACCTTTTTTAGTCCACCAACATAATTAAATAAAAAAATATCCCCAAAAAGCGTAAAAATCTAAAAAAAATAAACCAAAACAAATTATTTCACATGTACTATAATCAGAAATAAAAAAAAATCGTTAGAAAAAACCAATTTGGCATTTTATGTTTTAAAAAAGGTAATAAGAGTACTTGAGTGATGTTTTTAAAATTAAGATAAGACCTCAGTGAAATCTTTCCAAATATATAGTACCAAATTGAAAAATATTAAAAATATAGGTACCAAAGTCATATTTTCCAAAAAAAAAAAAAAAATTCCAGTTGTAGCTGTTCTAAACAAAACAACTATTACAAACGAGAAGTTCACTACTGCCTATTTCCTACTCAACTCTTGCCGCCTAAATTCCTCTCTCTCTCTCTCTCTCTCTCTCTCTCTCTCTCTCTCTCTCTTACTTTCTCTCTCATTCGCTTCTCCAAGCTGATTTTGTTTCGAGGGATTCAACAATGGAGGGTGACAAGGTAAGCTCTCCAGTCTTTAAACCAACTCTTTTCCTTCTCTTCTTGCAAGTTTACGTTTTCCGATTGTAATCTGAATCGGAACTTCGCGACTTTCTTTGAATTTTCTGTTTGGTTCCCGAGAAACCGGCAAGCACAGAATGCGAAACCTCGCGTCTTCGCTGCAGTCATTTCGGTTTCAATCTTGAACCCCCCTTTCTTCGTGTTTCTTGAAATTGTTCCTTTTTTCTTTTTTTTTTCCTTTTTTTTCAATGCACAAATTCCAAGCAACCAAGTGGAATATAAAAGAAAATGTTCCGCATTTTCTTGATCAGATTGCCTTTTAGTTTAGTGTTTTGCATTTTTTATTTCTTGCTTTTCATTAGACTATTTGTATTCGTTTATCGCTTTATTGGTAGGAAAAATGAGATCTTTTTTCGTTTCCTATATATATATATATATATATCGTGTAAGTAATTGCTGTTAGGAATAGAAACCCAGAATTAGGGCATAAAATTGTTGTACATATATGTACATGTTATATGTATGTATATGTATATGTATAAACAGTAAAGTACACCATGCAATTTTTATGGTACAGCCACATTCCATTGCAGTTTTGTGTTTTGGCGAGGGCAAAACTTTTGTGTCCTTGCCTTTCATTGTGTGTGCTAAATGCTAATGGGCAATTTATTTGTTTTCATTTGTTTGACTTGAAGCCATTGTCAACTCATAAAGCTGCGGAGTCGGAAGATAAGCGCTCATTTGTTTTTGAACGGCCGCGTGAAAGTGACTCTCTTCTTCGTGAGAAGAAGGTGAGAACTATAGAAATATCAACAGGTTTCATATTGAGATTATAGTGATACTCAATAGCAAGAAATGTGGGGAAATGTCATGAACTCTAGACGTTGGTTTTATAACTTTTATCTAAGTCAGTCAAAGCCTAATTATTTATTAGATATGAAGAAATTTAATGAAATAATGTTTTTATATCGTTACTTTTGTGTGTGTGAGTGCAATTTTTATGCTGCAAGTCTGCAACCACATTTCCATCGGTTTTATGTGTTTGCGAGGGCAAAATTGTTGTTTTTCTTGTGTTTTGTTGCGTGTGCTTATTGGTTCTTTGTTTGTTTTCATTTTCTTTTTATTTGTAGCCATTGTTAACCCAAAACGCTGTAGAGTTGGACGATAACTGCACATTTGTTCTTGAACTGCCGGAAAGTGACTCCCTTTTTTATGAAAAGAAGGTGAGATTATATTACACACTAGAATGACACTTCATTTCATTCATTGTAATATTGAGAGATTTTGTATTGAGATTATACTGATAGTCAACAGTAAGAAATGTGAGACTGGACTGATGCCAAGTGGTGGATTTGCGAGTTCTATGTTTGTCAATGATGTTACGATCGCCATAGCATGGGGAACATCATTGCACTCTAGGCGTAGGTTTATAACATATACGTAAATAATAGCCTAATAATTTATTGATGCGCGTCCGTGTTGGATGCTTTCTATTTAGCAGTTCCATCAATAGTTCCGACCTACTAGCATGTTAACTATAGTTGTAATGGCATGATTTCTTATACGTTATGTTTTTCCTAATTTTTCACTCTTATTTCCTTTCTAAGGAAGGGCATCTATTTCCAATATAGTTGCAAATGTTGCTGCTGCTATCCTCACTATTTTCTTCTTGCTGTGTAGAACTTGCTACAAAAGAAGGGATTTAATACCAAGGAACAAATACGCATCACGAGCTCATCACTCCCTGATTCAATTAGTGCTTCATTGAATGAAATGCTTCAAATAACAAGAATCATAAACTTAGATGAGGTACTTTGCTACTTTCCTGTGTCTGCTTGATAGATCTTACTTGGGACATAAATTTGAGGATTTCTAATTGAGAACAAGAATAAAATTTTTGTCCTTGGGCGAGAGAAGATAAAGTTTGTCTTGGTCTATATCGTCTGAATTATATATTCCTCTTTGGTTCCTTGAAACTTTTGGTACTGATATCTTCCTGGTCTTTTCAGGCTGAAAAAGGGAGGATCTTAGTATCTGACTGAAATATGAATTTTCTGTATGGGCTGTGCAGGTGGAGCTTTACTTTTTGGAAGATGATGCAAGCTCACCAGTGGACTCTTACTCTTTCAGGAATGAATTAGCATCTCTCAATTCAATCCTCCGGCTAGTTGAAAACTCACTTTGTGATTGTACAGAAATGCAAAAGAATATCCTGCAAGAGTTACGCGCTTCTATTGCTGGTATGATTGATAAATTACGGATTGAGAATAACTTGGAGTCTGTGATCCTAGAAGACCACTGCTGCGACAGAGAAAACCGCTTGTTACAATGGGGTGTAGAGAATGGCATGACATCAAGGTTGCGCATTGCTTGTAAGTAATCAGTATTTTGATGTTATAGTCACCTTCTTTTTAATCTAGAAGAGTTTCACCTTTTTGTCCTTCATGATCGACAGGGGAAGAGGTAGGCTTGGGAGTATGAACTGTCAACTTTTTTTTTTATTTTTTCATAAATTTAATAAATGGCTAAGTTTATACAGAAAGAGGGAAGGGCAATCTGCAAATGAATCAAGTTTCTGATGCCTCATTCATCATGCAGATGTGGAAGGAGCTGGTAGAGGTGCCATTGCAAGAGAAGATCTGAATGTTGGGGACACTGCTTTGGAGATCCCTACCTCTTTAATAATTTCTGACAAGCTTGTGAAAAAATCTGACATGGTACGGTTAATTATACATTTCCATCAGTTTCCAAGTTTATGCCTATTGCTTGTATTTAAAATTATTTTAATGGATAAGGGAATAGAAACAAATAAATACAATGATTACTTGGTCCCTGTTTAGACCATAATGCAAATAATTTCTCACCTCCCTGCCCGTCTAGTCTAGCCTTAAAAGTGCTCAAAAGGTGAAGCCCCTTCAAACAGCTATGTAAGTACAAACATGTCTTTTGGGGTTGGCTCAGTGGTGAATCACTTAGTGCCTTAGGAAGCATTAGGTTTAAAGTTCGATGCCCATTGAGTACTATCAATTCCTTGGGGCCATGCCAGTGGGCCAAAGGCCTGAGATTTACTCGATCCATGTGGAGGGAGCGCTTTGCATGGATCTCGTGGATTAGTCGGGCTAGGTCTCGGACACCACGGTTGTCCAAAAAAAAATAAGTACACACGTCTTTAGTTCGTTCATCAATGTGTTCTAGGTGGCTTCTAAAGCTACCTAGGTGAAGGTAGAGGATCCTCTTGTGACTTATCTTTTTTGTTGAAGAACTGAATTAAGACAGTTCGTACAAGAGCTTATCCAAGAGAGCTACTTAGGACAATTGCTGTGAAGTATCACATGCAAATTTGCTATCACCCTTGGTGAAGTTGCCGAAGGAGTACTATATCATGGGGATCTCCCACAGAAAATCTTCAGCGGAATGAGTGGGTGCAGATAAACCCAATTTGACTATTCCATTTGGGTAGGAAACTAGCTTATGACACAATCTCACCCCTTGTTATTAGAAGAAGAAACAAACAATAGACCAACTGAATCTGAATACGTACCTTTGATGATATGGATTGCCATAGTTGTCGCATAATGAAGGTACTCCTTCCATAAACACATGAAGTGAAGAAGTCAACTTCTAGAAAAACATAATCTTGTGTGGTGGTTTAAGTATATTTTAGGTAAGGAAATTCGTAGTCCCAAAAGGAGAGAGAAACATATTTGCTATGCATCAAGGGCATGATATTAGAAGCCTGCAGCAGCTACAGCTATAAAGGCATAATTCAAACTTTATGACTTCAAGCCGCCACCTTGTGGCTTAGGTGGGAGTTATTGAATACAAAATTCAATTGAATATAAATCCATGATATTTATCACTTGTCCTATTGATATTTTTATGCATATCTCTCTATACCAGAACTAATTTTGAATCTTTGCTGATCAAAATGTCGCTTTGTAGCCAAGTGTTGTTTTTCCTTTGAGACTTCATTGTTAAACTAGCAATCTTCTATTTTTATTCCTCTCATTTCAGTCCATATTTTGTATGTCACCACTCTCTCATGGATGTAATTGTTGGATCTTCGATTCTTTATCAAGTAGCATAACCTTGTTTTTTATAGCCAGGTTACTAGTTTTTCTTGCTCTCAGATTCCATTACCAAACTTCCAATCTTTTAGTTAAATTCCTCTTCCTCTATGAAAATCCTTACACAGGTGCAAGTTCACACTCATGCATACGGCATACATACATGCACCCACATGCATATGTACACACGTGTATAAGTACACACGTGTATAAGTACACACAGACATACAATGGTCACTATCCATAAGTGTACATGTTATGTAATCATAAGTCTGCATTCCTCCTACTTTTTTGGTTTTCATATATTTTTGAAGTTACAAACAATGTCAGTGCCTCGCTTTATCCACATGTCAATGACATTTGAATGTGAGTTGTCCTTCCTACTCAATTAAAAGTTTTTGAAACCCAGTAGCATAGAAAACCCAGGTTACTTGGATGTTTTATTGCTTGCCTTTCTTATTGCAGTATCATATATTGGAAGAGAAGGAAATGTCCTCTGAGACAATGCTGCTGCTGTGGAGCATGAAGGAGAAGTACAATGCGAATTCAAAATTTAAGGTCTACTTTGACACACTGCCAGAAGAATTCCTTACAGGTGGGATAACATTCTTAATTTGCAATAGCTAATCATTGTCTTGATGGGGTGTGTGTGTGTGTGTGCATCTCTGGTGCTAGCATTGATGTCTGAGTATCATTTTTTTCTAGTGCTAATGTTAGCAAGTATACTTGGTGAAGTGCTGAAAAAAAATCATTGGTGGAAGTTAAATGTGGTGGAAAATAAATTTTCAATATACATCTATGAAGAAATGTCTTTTAAAAGCAACGATAGTTGGCTTTGTAGAACCTTCATTTCATTATTCCTGTTGTTTGAAGTCAAGTATGTGGTATCATAACAAGTATTGTTTGAATCTGAAATATATGTTATTTCTCAGTTTTATGAAAACGAGTTGAATCACTCGTAATGCTTTACAATCTTTTCCTTCAAAACTAAAGTTGTGGCAGAAAACTTGAGCAAAAATTTCTCATTATTTTTGGAAAAATAATTTTATTGACCTAAACGGATTTGAGGAAGCAGCATGGATGCTTTTGCAGGATGATATATGTTTCTGCTGTTGTTTTGGCCTTGGAATATAATACGTGAACTCAGAGTTCTAACTACTACATCGTTTCGAAAAGATCTGTTTTATTAGCATCAACAATATCGCTAAATATACTTTCTAGCAACGTTGCTAAATATTAATTGCTTATGGGTTTACTTTTCTGAGTAACTCAAGAACGAACTTCCTTCTATACATGCATTTTCTGAATAATATAGAAAAATAGAGCGTAAAGAGCTGCCAGTTAATATAATTGTGTTCTCTTTGTTTTGGGTCATTTTTTATCCCCTAAAAGGCTTTTCAATATTATTTTATGTGTAATAAGCACTTTAAGAACAAATGAATGGTAGGAAACTATTGTGTTTAATGCTGCACGGTTTTTATTGTTGTTTACTGTGGAAAGAAGAATGGTTATTTATGGAGGATATTGTAATAATAGTTTGCCTAGTCTAATTGGTATCCTACGTTCTTTCATCTCCTTTCCTTCAACCCCCTCTAAAATGCTACAGGGTTGAGTTTTGGAGTTGACGCTCTTGTGCTTTTGGATGAGACTGCACTATTGCAAGAGATAATGGAAGCAAAAGAGGTAGTGTGATAGTTCTATTAAACGTTTAAGTTTTGGAGCTAGTTTAAGTATGTGCAATGCACGTATTGAGTTGTTATTAAAGTTTTTATAGCGTAGAATTTTGAATAATAATATATATAAAAAATAGAAGAAAAAGTTTACTTAAGAACTCAAAACGAGTGTATATTACGTGGTAGCATACATATTTTAAATGGTAAATTTAAATCTTACTCCATCATAAGGTATAGAGTTTGAATTCCTCACACCTAATTTTTAGAGAGAAAAAAGAGTGCACATTAATAATAGTTTAAGGGGACATTTAGTCATAGAAATACAATGAAACGCTCTAAATTATAAGGTAAAAAAAGTAAATAAATAAAATAAAGGAGTTGAAACTTAAAAAGAAAAAAGTGATAAAAAAAGTAGATCACCTAAAACTCACTGTTTTGGACTACTATGATGAACATAAATTGTGAAATAACAAAAAAAGAAAATAAAAGAGTTGAAACTAACTTACTGTTTTGGACTATTTGATGAACATAAATTATGAGATAATCAAAAGATAAAGGAGTTTAAACTAAAAAATGAAAGGGAAAAAAAGGTAAAACGCTTAAAACTCAAACTTTTGGACTACTAGGAGATAAACAATAGCTACATGTCGACTCTTTTATGTATTTGGAATTTGAGGTTTAAGATTTCAGATTAAGATTTAGTATAGGATGTGGGATTTAAGAGGGTATGGAAAACAAAAGAAAGAAATAAGAAAGTTAAAAGGGGAGGAAAAAGAAGCATAAAAAAAGAATGAAAAAAGAAAAGGGCAAAAAACAAAAAGAAAGCAAAGCAAACAAAGAAAAGAAAGGCAAAAAAAAAAAAAAAAAGAAAAAAAAAAAAAAAAAAGAAAAAAGAAAAAGAGGAGGCAAGCACCAAACAGTGCGTTTTAGACGATGAAGGCTAACAGTAGCTTCTTATGTGTACTCTTTTATATATTTAGGAAACTTGCATTGTTTTGCCTAACCCCAACCTGTAGTCTCATTTTGATAGCTTGACCAAAAAGATCCAGTGTACTGGTAAAATCTGTGATTTTCAACGTTATTATGTTTTGGAGTAGAAGAAGTTGCAATAGTCGTACAGAATTTTGCAGCTTCTTAGATGTTTTTTGCTTTATTTTATTTTATTTTTATTTTATTTTTTGACAGGATATGAAAATTTTATTAAACAAATGAAAACATTATAGAAGATTTAGGACGGATGAAATATCCATCCTAAAAATACAAAAATACAAGAACAACGACCAAGCACAAATAGACTATACGACCACACTAATAATCAGCCAACATTCAGAAATTACAGACCAGAAAACTCCTAAAACAGACTAAACCAAAATGTCCTCCCGACTAAGCAATATGAAGGATAGTGGAAAATTCTTAAATGATTTATCTGTAGCAGCTCATAGAGAAGCAATAAATTTAGCCTATGTCCACCTGTTTTATTTTCTATATTCTAATTAATCTATATTTTAGACTTGTAATAGATAGAGGTGTAACTTAGACTATGTCCACCTGCTTGGCCTTCCCGAGGCTCAGGTTGCTCAGGCTGGCGTGATGACATAGAGTCAAGGCCCTGCCTCCTGGCCCATGGGCTAGGCATAGAACACGTATGCTCAACTCTTAGTTGAATCTAGAAGCATAGAGGAGAAGAAATCTCTCTCTTATTCGTATATTAAACAAGAGTGTGGGAATATGAACAAAATTACATTCTCAGCAGAAATCTTTCTCTGCTATCAGATAATGTCTATGAAACCATATTAGGGTAATAATGAATTCATATAAGAGAGGGGGACGGCTTGTTGGATGGGAAAGAAATCTTAATACCAACAAGGCTCTACATTAGGATGAGGATAGTGAGCTTCATCTGACTTCTGATATTAAAACAGCTGCATCAATCTCTTAATCTACTATATACCCGGCACATTGTGGATTTGTAGTTCAGTACTTACAACAAGATTGTGCATGATTCTAATATTCCCTTCCCCCGTAATGTTGTTTGGTTGCAATTTGACGATGTTGACATATAAATGCTTCTTCTATATAATATTGCTTAGTTTTTGTTTTTGCAATTGATGAAGTGGAAATTAAAAATTTCCCTCACCCCACAAAATAGGAATCTATTTATTTGCACTTTTATTATTTAAAGGAGAACTTATTGACTTGATTAAAAAGTAATATGACGTGATTCTTTTTTAATGTGCAGCACATACGAAACCAGTATGAACAGCTTGTCCCTTCATTATGCGAAGAGCATCCTGATATCTTTCCACCAGAGCTGTTTACATGTGAGCAATTCTTATGGGCGTGTGAACTCTGGTACTCAAATAGCATGAAAATAATGTTTCCGGATGGAGAGCTAAGGACTTGTTTAGTTCCTGTTGCTGGCTTTCTTAATCATTGGGTATTTGTCTTCTCTGTTCTGCCACCCTTTCTTTTTGCCTTCGCATTTTTACACTTTTAGAATTGGGATGCACTAAACTTTCCAAATATAGTAGCAATGAGGATGAGGGGAAAAAGTATCTGTAATTGGAATGTTGAATCACAAGAAAGTCACCTTACTGTATATGTGGACATATCATAATTTTGTCTGATACTTTTAATGGAGTATTTTTTTGCAATCCTTAGCATAAGCTAATCATGCTTCTGTGAATTGGTTTTGCCATGTACATCTGCTGTCCAGAAATGATAGTTTATGTTAAAGCAACCAGCGAAAATGATATTTGATCCCTTGTTATTCTTTAAGTCTGTTTTTTTGGTTTGTGCTATTTTAGTTATCGTCCATTTTTTCGTTAAGAAAGAATTACACCTATTCTCCTCTATTTGACATCTTCTTTTCTTGCTCTTATAATGTTCTTTGTCACAGCTATACCCACATATAACAAGCTATGGAAAAGTACATTGTACAACAAATACCTTGAAATTTTGTCTATCAAGAGCATGTGATGAAGGAGAAGAATGTTTCCTTAGCTATGGAAACTTTTCTTCTTCTCATCTAGTTACCTTTTATGGCTTTGTACCAAAAGGAGATAACCCATATGACGTCATCCCATTAGGTGAGTTTTATTTTGATGTCTAGTGATCTTATCAGTTCTTCTCGAAGATGCGTATCCCCTTCTTCTTAGTTGTATATTTGTTGCAATTTTTCCCATGCAGAACTTGAATGTGACGAGGATAATTTTGACGAGGGCAGTCAGGCATTCAACTTGACTCACATGGCAAGGGGTACTTGGTTTTCGAATAACTATGAAATTTTCCACTATGGCTTGCCCTCTCCATTATTGGACAAGCTAAGGAAAACTCAGAACCCATTGCTGCACACTAAAGTCCTTGTAGGTGTCTATATCTTTTGTTTACTTTAATTATCTTAGGGGTTTTATTTTTTAGCTTTGAGTTGCATGTTCATTTAGACAGAATTCTTGAGACTACAACTTCCTTTAATTTTAATAGGCATATAATTTCCTTACCATGATTTTGTTTTGTGCTTTCGAATCTTGTTTATTCCTATTCTTGGATAGACTTTTCTAATCTTCGTTCTTTACCATTTTAGCTTCAAGGAAGCTTGGAATATGAAATTGAAATACTCGAGCAAGTCCACGACATCTTTGGTAACATGATGGATAATCTTGGTGAAGATCTTGATGACCTATCCAGGTTATATAGTTTCCCTTCAATCATCTTATTGTAATTGATGTACAAAGCGGATGAAAAACCTTCATTTGTTGTTCTTTGTTTTCGATAAAAAATTATTGTTTAACATAGGTGCTATATCCATCTTTGCAGGAAAGAGGCTAGTTGGGATGTAAAGCTGGCAATTGAGTACAAAGATATTCTAAGAAAGATTATGGCTTCGATCACAAGTTCCTGCCATTTAGGTATCTATCAAGTGAAAGATGAGTTGTCGAAAATCATGGATGAGGACACTCGTGGCTAGATGGGCGGCCCGGCGCAACTTTTTACAGCTCGGAAATGAACCCTCAGAGTAAGGCATTGATAAAATTTTTGACACATACTGATTGCTATTTTAGTTGAGGATACAGGACGTGATAGGTAATTCTTGTCCACATCACAAATTAGGCTACAAGGTTAATGATCTGTCAGTTTTTGATAAATTGTCAGTTTTACTTTTCTTTTTTGTCTCTGAAAATCTGTATAAGCAAGAAACAGTACTTTTGTGATGCCAGAATTGTGCCATCGCTCATTTGTTAATAGTGCAATTTTCACACCAAAACTAAATCTCTCTTTATGGTTTGTTACAAAGAAGTTTTGAATTGACTAGAAAAAGGCACGCAAATTGCTGTTAAATGCGTGGTCAAGGTACTTGCTAATTGCTTTTCAACTTTAATTTTTGTGGCAGGAAAAAAAAGGGGCAAACTTCTTTATTTTTATTTTTATTTTTTCTACTCAATGGAGGGGATTTAGTGGTATACTTTATGTCTCCTAACCTCTTTAATTATAGCAAATAATTCTGAAGATCACTGAGTATGTGGAAAGAATCTGAAGTCTAAACTAGTCTTTCCATAACCATCTAAAAAAGAGGCAAACTTTTATGTTTAGTATATAGAGATAAGAATACCAAAGTATGACTTTGAGCCATATTATATTAGTCTATGCACACGTGTCTTTCTTTCAAGTTTAGGAACACTTCTAGGAATGTCACGACTTATTTATGCATTGTATAAGCTTAAGGAAAAAAAAAACCAAATTTATAACGTTTTAATATGTAAAAGTGGAGGATTAGATACGTATATTAAAGGGATTGAATCCTCATGGTGGTAGATGTGTACTCCATTGAGCATAATGGTGACTGACATCATCGTCATTTTATGCTTAAAGGGGATTATTTAGACAATTAAGAGGAACTAACCTTTTTATGGTTTAATTAGCATATTATAAGCTTCACAAATACTCACATTCTGCTCTTTGGTAATTGATAAGTAATAAAAAGGTGCAAGCATGATAATGATTTGAATTTTTCGTTGAAAGATAAGGAAAGACTAATGGTGTTGTTAGTGAACAAACATAATTTTCCTTCAAATGCTTTTCATACTTTTTATTTTAAGTAGTTTTGACAAGTCTTGAAAAAAAAAAAAAAAACAGTAAACCAACACAAAATTGAGCATTAGGTATTGAAGTTAATTACCAAAGAAACAAAAAATCTTCCGTAATCGTTATCTCATTCTGACTATATTTCCACCTAAGCCAACTAACTTGAAAATTGCTAAATGGAACTGAAAACCAAATAAATTATTCTAAATGATGTTCCTTTTATTTTTCTTCTTTTATAGATATAGATCTTAAGTAGGAAGATTGAGATAGAATAATAGAAGAGTTGGTGTAACCCAATCAATGGATCAGTATTTAATTAATACCTTTTGACATCATATCAAGTCATTCAAGGGTGGGTCCAAATTAAAAGAAAAAGGAAAAAAAAGAAAATTAAAAGTTAAATCGGAAGCTATGTGCTGCTTGCTATTCATTTGAGAATTGCAAATGTTTCAAAAATGTTTATTGACATGTGTGCATGAACACTCAGTGTTAAGTTATAGGGTTTAATGGACCGTTAATGAACCGTTTCGTTCGTTGATTTGAGTTTTTATTCTAATTGAGATGTGACTTTATGTAAGAGTAATACTGTAATAAAAAATTAGATATGACTGTTTCTGAGAGCTTTTTACTATAACAAAACTCGAATTCTAAACTCGAATCGGTGAAATTAATGAGGCCTAAGTATTGTCCGACAATTATTGCCTAATTTAGAGACAACAAGAGAATGGAGAAATTTGAGAGATGCGCGACTAATTTTGTAAGCGTAGATTTAAGTCTCGTATTGAAAGTGAACCTTTATAAATTTGGGAGAAAGAGGAAAATATGCCAAGACTTGAGATGAATTAAAATTAATAGGCCAATAGTTTACATAAGTTAATAAATATGCTAAATTACTGTTTTTGTCCATAACTTATCTGGTTATGAACCATAACTTGACAAGTTATTGTCTATAAATCACAGTTTTTGTCCATAACTTGTCTTGTTATGAACCATAACTTGACAAGTTTGTCCATAACTTGTCTGGTTATGAATCATAACTTGACAAGTTATGGCCTATTAATTTCTATAACTAAAAGTTGACCTATATACTTACTTAAACTTTTTATATTAGTCTATTTTCTACTATTTCCGTATAAATTTTGTGTTCTTATTTGTTTAATTTTTTATTATGATTTTATTATTCTTTGTAATATACATCTGTGTGTTAAATACTTTTAAAATACATTTCTTTTCATTTCCCAGCATGATCTGCCTTACTAATACCACGAATAGACCAATATTGGAGCCTCGGCTTGCTGGGGAACAAGATCTTACCGAACATTTATTCATTATCTGACCACCAAGCAATCTTTTCAAAGCCAATGGCGTCGTTAAATAAATAAATAAATAAATAAAGATAGCAATATCTTTTCTCTACTCCATTGATAGATTATGTGGCAGTTAAATATGACTATAAGCTTAATCTATTAGCAACCATATTCTTTAACAAAATAACAACAACAATATCAACAAATAATAATAGTATAAATTTTTCTAAAATAAAATTAAAAATATGAAATTCCTCCAATAAGTTGCACAAGAAATGGTAGTTAAGACGATAAGGTAAGGAACGTAGGATGATGTTACGTGTTCCCTTCCAATTCCTGTATTCTATTTTCCTTTTTATAATGTCATTATTTAATAATTGTTGCAAAACAAATTTCCTACTTTAGCAATGATTATTTTCTTTTATTTTGGTCTATTCGTGGTAGAAAAGAACTCTTAAATTAAATTAAGATTTCTTATATGCATGTTCCACCCTTGCAAGATTCCTTTTCAGAGTCCATTTAAGTTTATTTATGGAAAAGAAATGAAAACAATAATAATAATTATTATAATAATAAAATAATTTGTAGATTGTTTTATAGGATAGGAAATGATTGTCAATATTATTTTAATTAAAACCTTGAGACCTTGAAAATGTAGTTTAATACAAGATTTTCTACTAAATATTAACTTCTCTCTACAAAAGAGATTTGATTAAGCGTATGCATTCTTTTTTAACCTTTTTGCATGGACACCCCCTCAACTTTATAAGTTTAGCAAATTAGTCCCTTAATTTTTTTCTTAACAATTCACCTCTTAAACTTTGAAATTCGTTATAATGTTAGTCAAATTGAAAATAAAGTTAAAATTTTAAGACGGTATTAACCACATAAGTGTATGAAGATAACTAACATCTTTTTGCTTCGAATTGATCCTCATATAATATCACGAGCGAAATTTTTTTTGAAATTGGGAGTTCACCTTTGTGGAGGAAATTTGGGGCTCCCCCTCTTTTTTTTTAAAAAAAAAAAAACATTAATGACGTGTATAAAGGGTTCAATTTGATGCAAAAAGGCTAAGATTATCCTTATTAAACACTCACGTGAAAAATATCATCCAAGTTTGTAACTTCGTTTTCAACTTAACCAACATTGTAATAAATTTTAAAATTTAAAGGGTGAATTGCTAAGAGAAAAGTTAAGAGACTAATTTACCAAACTTAAAAAGTTGAGAGGATGTCCATGTAAAAAAACCTTCTTTTTTGAAAGGTTATTCAAACAATTATCATTAAATAATTAGATCACTCATATTCCAAAAAAAAATAAAAAAGTTTATTCTATTATTTGGCCTCTCATATCTTAAATTATTCTAAAAGTCGCCTTCTAGTATACAAAAACAATTGTGGGGTGAAAATTAAGCCTTTAAAAATGAACGAATTTTTGTGGGGTAAGATATGGTTTTTTTTTTTAAAAAATCTTTGTGCCATTTAGGAATTTTTTTTCTTTTTCTTTTTACTTTTATTGTTTTTGAAGTTTTTAAAATTACACTTTTAGAGAATCAATGTTTAAAATATTAAATAATACAAATTATTCAGGATAGTTTCGGTACTTACAAAAATTTAACCAGTTATTTTTAGACAATTTTTTACGACGCAAGGGAAAAATGTGGTATAATAAAGGGAAATTTTTAAAAATATGAAAAAAGATAATACTATTTTATGTCCGCTATTAATTTAAAATTTATAATATGTCATTAATATTTTGCTAGAATATCTTTTTTAGAATATTTTTTTGGCAGGATATTTTTTATATTCTACCAAAATAAATTTTATATTCTACCAGAATATTTTTTAATAAAAGATAATAATAAATAATGGTTATTCTTATAATGTTTTCTATTCGAAAGCAGTTAAGTGTATGTTGATACTTATATAATAAAATAGATGAAAGTAGTATTTTGACAAAATAAATAAGGTGTTCTGAAAATTTATTTTGAATACTAATTAAATAATCTGTGTATATAAGTATTCACTAAAAGATATATACTTCCCTGAATATATGTGTGTACATATAAGTCTCGTTCACTTCACAAATTTGAGTTTTTAATTCAAGTTGAGATGTGATATTTTTTAAGAGTTTTTAACTGTAGCAGAAAAAGTTAGATGTAATATTTTCTTAGAGCTTTTAACTGAAGAAACTTAAAACTGAAAACTCAAATTCGTAAAATGGACAAGGCCATAATTAATGATAAATTTTTAAAATCATCCTTATTCATCGTGAAGAATTTTCGTTTAAAAAAATATGTCCTTTAGAAAAGCTTAAAACGACCGATCACTATGGCATTCATAACTGGAAGGTGTAATATCTATGGCACCTTTTTTTTTTTTTTTTTTTTTTTTAGAATTACTAGCGTAACTGGACTTAAGCCTTTAATGAACATAACGATATTTATACATTATACTTTTCCTTGATGTAAGATTTTAAACATTAACTTTATTGAGTTGTTACAAAATCCACATGTAGTTATTAATTTTTTATGAGAGTAATTAATATTTTACTAAGTAATTAAAAGTTTTTGAGACTTTTTCGATATATCAGTAAATTAAAATTTTTTTTTATCAAATCTGCATATAAGATTACGTAAAAATAGAAAATAAAAACGCAGATGAGCTGAGTTTATTAATTGATATATTTTACATTGCAATGCAATTAATGTGTTTATTAAATAATATTTCTGAGGTGGTGTATTATAAGGGACCCACAATTAAGATGAGCTGAGCTGGCAATAGCCAACAAATATTGGTTGCGGCAAAATGGGCTGCCCAGTGCCCACTACCAGCGATCCCACAACCACCGCCGACTTCTCCTTCTCTCTCCTTGTCCTAATCCACTGTAAACCTAAAAAGATTAGTTATTATTTTCAGCCAGTCAACCACTTCCACGTCATTAGACACTTTAAGCATTCTTAAAAAAAAAAATCTTTAAAGATTGCCTTTTTATTAAGGGAATATTTGCTATTTTGCTATTATATATATGTAGATTAACTTTATTTTTTTTAAGTTCATTAAAAAAATACTAAATTTGGATATTCTTCAAATTATACCTCTTTAATTCTAAATTTATATTAAATATATATAATTTTTAGCTTAAGTCCTAATTTGATATATTTAACTTTTTATCGTTGGTGAATAAAATTGTATCAACATTAATGGATAAATTTGCAACTTTACAACTCAATTAAAACAAATTGTTATGATTCGTTAAAATTACAACTTTTATAACTCAATTTAAAACAAATTGTTATGATTTTTTTAGCGTGACACTTAATTCGTGCTTGGTTACAAATTTATTTATAATATGCAAAAATAAATTCGTCAGTTGATTGAGCAAAATCAGTACATTATTTTATCTTGAAAGTGAAAACATGCAAAATATAAACAGAGAAATAAATCGAATACTTTTTTTATAAGCTCATCAAAATAGCTATAAAATAATAAATAATCCTTTATTATTTGTTGAAAAGATACTAATTGGGCGAGACAACAAGATATTCTGGAGGCTGTCGTAGCAGATTCGGTTAATTTTTCTTTTCAGCAGACAAAAAAGAAAAGGAAACAAAAAAAAAAAACGAATAACACACAATGGAGTGAGAAAGAAAAGGAAGAGAGAGAAAGAGAGGAGAACAGAATCGCTGATACGTCTCTCTCCGAGCTTTCTTTCTCTCTCTCTCTCTCCCCTTTCCTTTCTTTCTCTTCTCTCCTTGGCAGA